TGTAAAATGTTAATAGTTTAGTATGAAGTGAATGCATTTTCTAAATTTTATCAAAATATGCTCATAAACAAGCAAACTACAACAGTTTACTTATTCTCCATAAGAATAACATAGGAATTTTAAATTTACAGATTTTTGGAATTTTCTCCGTAACCATTAGGCGCATAATAACGCTTCAATATACTAAATTATTTGTTTTTTAAGCTCTACAAAATGGTTTGGAAAGAAATTGCTGAATTTTAAGTTTTTAGGGTCAAAAATGGGAAAAACCAATTTTTACCCCATAAAACCCCCCGTAACCCCCTGTTCCCATGGCCCAATTATGCTGGTTCGTGAACTTGTTCGAATAACGTAGGTCGTCACGTTTGCACCAAATTTCATCAAAATCGGATCATTTTTGCTCGAGTTATCGCGCTAACGTACATATATATATATATTAAAATAATTAGAGGATGGATCCAACTACACACTTAAGGATTATAAGGTGATATACAAAAACTAAAAGATATGTGATGCAGAATAATTTTACTAGTTTAATATGATGGACTACCCAATTACCAGTAATTTATTTTCTTTATTCTCCTTTATCTCAGCAGATTTTCCAAAGCGTTCTAAGTGGGCTTCTGAGGAAGTTCCAAAGAAAGATTTTTGGGGTGTTAGATGGAGTTTGAATAGGGGTTTGTGGTCTTTTTCTGTGTTTTTAAAAGTTATAGTATAGTAGTTAAAACCCAAAAAGTTAAATGTCAAAATTTAGTAGTTTAAAAACCTTAAAAATAGTATATCATTCCTTAATTGAATCACATATTTCTTTTGGGTTGTGTCTTTATGGGGGCACATCAAATTTTAACCTAAATAGCATTCTGGAACTTAAAAAAAAAACAATTCGCATTATGTTAAACTTAAGTCAAAAACATCCGCAAAAGAGCACTTTAAAGAAATAGGAACTATGACTGTTTTTAGCTTATACATTTATCAAATAGCCCTTTATATTAAATCAAACCATGAAAGATTGCCAAAATTGAACTCTTTTCATACATATTCAACCAGAAAAGGTAATGAATTGGCGTTCAACAGACATAATTTATCAGTTTATGAAAAAATCCCATCTTATAGTGGTGTTAAATATTTCAATAGCTTACCTGACAATGTAAAAAATATAATTAATTTTAATTCATTTAAAAAACGTTTGAAATTATTTCTCACCAACAGACCCTTGTAATTCGAATTAGAAGATTTATAGAAGATTTATAGTAGTTCGGATTAGAAGATTTTTCCAACTTCCTGAAATTAGATTTTTTAATAATAACAATATTCTTTGTCAGTAGTCTTAAGTTTAATATTGTGTTTTTATAACTGACTCCATTCTGTACAAAATGTGCAATATGAATAAAGTTATTTTGATTGATTGATTGAGAACTGTACAATGATTTTAGTTTGCCCTAAAGTATGATACTTGGATTTCAGGATTTTATTAAGTCATCATTACAAGATTAACTGTTTATTTGTATGATATAAAAATCAGTCTATCAACTTACAAACAAAATATAAATTTTAACACGGACAAGTATTTTTACAACACAGTTTTCTATATATAACTAACTTGTATATAATAATAAAAACTTATTATACATAACAAAACAATAATGAGAGGCAGATACAAAAATTATTCTGAAAATGGTTTTTCACTTTAAAAGAACATGACTGAAATGTAAATGCTTGTATCATACTTAAAGTACCTTTAATACATTTTTTAGTTGCTTTCCGGTAAGTTTGAATATAAATTGAGTTAACTTTGATAATTGATCATTTAAGTTTTACTTGTAAATGACCAGCAATAATATTACAAATAATTGACATTACATGTATGCTAATTTTGTATTCACTGAGAAATTGAACCTTAACATAGCTAAATATGGATGGTTTTGACCAATTCTTATGTTTTAAATAATTAACATTGTTAAGCACATGTAAAGCAAAATAAACAAACTCAAAGCAACAAATTGTACACAGGTAAACAATCTTAAAAATGCAATATGGAGGCCTAGTTTATTTCACCTACATATATACCTACAGGTATATATAAAATATAGTAGGTATATATATAGTCAATGATATTTGAGACCATATGTTTAAAGTGGGAGATTTATCAAGCACTTTAAAAAATATGACCGAGAATATGTAATTAATTACTAATGATGTTTCACTTGTGTTTTTAGTGTCACTTTTCACTACACAACAAGGACTAATTATTTTTAATCAAAAATAGATATAGGCATTATTTTTCTTTATTACAATTTGGGAACATTTAAAAACTAATAGCATTTTTTAGGTTAAGCCTTCTATTGCAAATTCAAATTTACATTGATCGTACAGTTTTGGTTGTTGAAAATTAAACTGTTTATGAAACAATAACAAATGTATGTTTGCATAGTAAACATTCTTTTTCAATAGACAATGTAATGATGAGTTTTAGCCTTTGATAAACATATAACAAAACAGGTGATTTCACAGTAGTGTATCGAAAACAATATATAGATGGTATTTTAATGAGCGCAAGTACTGTGCAGGGATCTGAAAAAACACTGAAATAATTTTTTACAGGTTGTGAACCACAGAAAACGATATGTGAGTGAAAATTTAAAAACGTACGTTTTCATGTCCCTGGCCTTTTACTTCGTAGATACTGGATTTGTAGTTTATTATTATGTGTTTTAATATTTTTTGGGACGGGGGCAACATGTTACACACATTTATTTGGTTTTAAATAGGTTCTAGGTATTTTTTTCGTATTTTTAAAGTCTCGAAATTCACGACCATGACGTGTCCCTAGGGTGAATTTTCCAACTTTCACACTGTTTTTAGACTAATTATTCATGCCGAAATATATAAAGCCATATTTTTATGTCATCAATGGTTATTAAACTTACAAAAAAGGAGCATATTATAATTTTATTGTCATTACAAACTGACTACCATGACAAAATAAGTCTGTCCCTCGATTTGGCGTCACGACCATTTGGGAAAAATTTTCAACTTTGGAGCACGACAGTGGCAAGCCTGGCGTCGATGGAGTCAGTTGGTTTTAGAGACTAGTTCGGGGTGTACGTCAGGATTGTAGTGCCGGTCGTTTTGAGTTGAAAGGAGGAATTACAAGATTAATAAAGGAAAGATTGTGTTTTTTGTAATTTTGGTGTGTCCATGACCGTACGTAGTCATTCGACGAAGTAGACATGGTGTTAATTTTTGTTTATAAGATATTTCAATTGCTAGATTAACCTAGAAGTCCACTTTGTATCCTTGAACATGAGGTGCAGGGCTACCGCCAGAACAGAGCCAAATTACACGTAATTTCACGACCAAAGTTTCACGACCATCGCTGGTTTTTTCACGACCAATCCAGCCTTATGGATTATAGTGTGTTTGGTCGTGACAATAACTTTAATATAATTGTAAATTGAACAGTTAAGTTCAATTGAAACACATATTTTTATTATAACTAACATGATAATTGAAGGATTGTTTAGAACGATTTAGATTATTCCAGACAATTCACGACCGTACCGCTTGTCCCTGACCATCACGTTTATGATTTCTATCATAAAAATTTCAAAAATTAAAATATCGTCATATTTCAATGTTTTATACACAAAAGAAGCACACCTCTATACAAACATAACGATTTTTCGGGTCTCAGGTAAGTTTTTTCGGAGTTATACAAACTTAAAAAGATTTTATTGGCTTTTTTCAATTTTTTGAGTTTTTTTATTTTTTTCTAGAAAGACCAAATATACCAAAAGCTCAGTGACCTATTTATTGTATAATGGTCATAAAAGTAAATAAGTTTATAGCAAAACATAGTTATAAAAATAATATTAACTATTTTTAATATTCATTTAAACGTCCGTTATGGTCGTGACAGGATTTTGTGTTTTTCCACTAAAGATGCTCTTTTAAAAAGAAACTACCAAAGATATTGCGTTACCATGGACATTTTATGAAACTTCAAATGTTAATGAAATAAAAATAATAATAAAAGTTTTGAAAAAAGGGGAAAAGAATTTGCAAAGTGCTTTTGCTGAAAACGTACGTTTTTAAATTTTCACTCATATGTGCAACATATATTAAGTTCAGTCTAGCTTAGAATTCTCAGGCAGTAACAACTATCCAATGTATTTAATGCAAAATACCCCTGTCGCAGCAGATCTGCAGACTAAGCGACAGGAGCCTAATACGTTAACGTTACTTAAATAATTAGGTCAGTCGAAAAGCTGTTCAAAACATTGGGTCAGGGGGTTATGGGCCAGGGGTTGGATTTGGTATTTATAACCTGATTTCAGCTTAAGTTTTTGAAACGAATGAATGAGTCAATACAAAATTCAATAGAGAAAGTAAATCCAAAATTTTACTGGGTCAAATTGTTTGGAAATTAAAAAAAAAACTTTCTTTAGGAAACTTTTATTAGTGATACTCAGTACTTTTAAGTTGCATAGTTAGCCCTCAAAGGGATAAATTATTACCAATACAGCATAACTCAAGCTAACTATCTTGACATCGGGTAACTCGACAGTCTGACAGCTAACAAGGTACAATACATCTTGCTGGCTTTGTCTTACAAGTGCATTAGACTTTTCTAGCAATTTTTAAGAACATTTTCTTTTAATTATTGAATATTCTAAATTTTTTTGAAGATTATTGCAGGAAAATACCTATGCAAGCAATTTATTTATACGCACAAATTAGTCAGCTATGTATTCATTTATAAAAACAAAAACCCATTTAAATTTCAATGTTCTGCATAATTCGACAACCTCTGGGTATAAAAATTGTCCAGTTAGTGAGGTTTTACTAAACTAAAAATACAAAATTAGTCAATACAAAAAAATAAACCAAGAACTTTTTGTAAATTGTTCTACTTTTAGCACCTGGAATGTCACAATTTTAAATCTCTATTTACAAGTTAAATGCAAAAACAGAGTATATCAAGACTAAAGAATTACTAATGATAAATTCATCACATTAAAGGTACGTGCTAGAAAAGTGACTGTGGTACAATATTCTCTTGCAAGTTATGAACATTTTCATCAGGTAAAGAAATAAAATGGTAGGATACATCAGAGTCGTCGACATCTTCAGTCTGATCTTGATGATTGTCAACTTGGGCATCAGACACCGTTGCACTATCTACTGGTAAACTAGGTGCAGTTTTGGGGGAAAAAGTGTGAAAGTGGACTTTTTGTTTGTGTCTACAAAGTTGTTTTCGATTCTTGAAAGTTTTATTGCAAAACTTACAGAGGAAAGACTTTTCTCGGCTGTGAACAGCTTGATGATTCCTCAGATGGTTCCTGCTGCGGAATTTTTCATGGCATTTCTCACATACGAAGGGTTTCAGATCTGTGTGAGTTAGAGTGTGTGCTCTGAGAGCGCTAGCTCTCGAGAAGGACTTTGAACATATCTGACAACTAAACACTCTGTCTGCGTGTACTTCAGCGTGTTTCTTGAACGAATCTGGATGACTGAAACTTTTTCCACACTCTTGACAAACATAGGGCTTTTCTTTCGAGTGGTAAATTAGTTTGTGTGATTTGACTGCGTGTCTCCATCTGAACGTTTGCTGGCAAATATCACATTTAAACTTCTTCTCGTCCGTATGGACAAGTTGGTGAGTGTTGAGAACATCTTTGCGGTTGAATGTTTTTCCACAGATCTTGCATTCAAACTTCTTCATTCCAGTGTGGATTAAAAGATGCATTTTCAGGGTGCTCAACAAACTAAATGCTTTCTGACAAATTTCACAGCGGAAAAGCTTTTCGCCCGAGTGTAAAACTTTGTGCCTTTTCAGAGAGTTCAAAGCTGAAAAATTGCTTTGACAAATATCGCAGGTGTACAGTTTTTTCTCTGAGTGTACAGACCAATGTGCATGGAGAGAATCCCTAGAACTAAACTTTTCATTGCAGTAAGCACAAGGGAAAGCCATGTTAATGTCTTCCTCTTTGTGGCACAATTTGTGCCTTTGGAGATTAGCCAATTTTTGAAAGGACCTCAAGCACTTTTCACATTGATACAAAGTTTCACCTTGAATTTTGTGTTTACTCTTTTGCAGTTCGGGTTGTGATGAGAATCTTGACTCAATTTCCAATTGTCTGTTTTCAACAGTAATATTTATCTCTGGTTCTTGATTAATGCTACCAGTATTGTTCATTTCCTGCCCCAGGTAGAGAGGATCCTTCGTTGAATTAATATCTTCTCCATTTCTATCTTCTTCTTTTGCATTTCTAGCAGCCAAATCCACAGCTTCTTGATTGTCAAAAGTCTCATTCGGCATTTTTGAATGCACCTTTATTTTACTTTGCATTATGCATACCTTAACATGTTTTCTTGCTACACAATTGGTTAGAAAACCTGCATTGCATTTGGAACACTTGTACCTCTTGACACCATTATGTGTGGTGATAGTGACTATTTTAGTCACATCATTCAAATTCTCTTTGTCTTCACCACATGTATCTCTTGTACTTCTGTCAGATTGCCACTTAAGATCTAATTCTCTTTTCTCCTCCTTGTGGACATATTTAATGTGTATCATAGCAAAACCTTTAGACTGATACCTTTTAAAACATAAAGGACATTCGTAACTCTCATCTGTATATTTAATAGGTGGTTTGTTTCCAGCTACCTTTTTACTATGGACACTAGCTGCATGAATGATTGCTGTTATTCTTGTTTTAAACATTTTTTTACATTTATAACATTTATAATTCCTACCAGAAATAGGGTTAGGCATATGCTTTGACAGAATTCCTAATTCATCCTCCTGAGAATGTTCTGCATTCAACTTCACTGCCAAATCGGATTTCAATGATCTTTGACATTTATCAAACTCATAACTCTTGCCAGAGACTTGTTTTGATACCAACTCAAAGGGGGTATGTTTTTTCTCCTTGTAGACATGACCTTTGAGTATCTTTACAACCAATTCGGATTTCAATAATCTTTGAGACTTATTAAATCCACAAATATTACCAAAGACTTGGTTAGGTGCAACCTCAACAGATGTTTCTTCTTTTTCCTTGTGGGTTTTCCTCATTTTACCTTTGTGTACCTTTAAGGCGTGTTCAGATTTGAATACTTTTTGACAATGATTACACTCGTTTTCCTTATGAAATTCATTAAATTCAAAACTCTTACCAGAGACTTGGTCAGGTACAAACTCAAAAGGTATTTCTTCTTTTTCCTTGTGGGTTTCCTTCATTTTACCTTTGTGTACCTTTAAGGCGTGTTCAGATTTGAATACTTTTTGACAATGATTACACTCGTTTTCCTTATGAAATTCATTAAATTCAAAACTCTTACCAGAGAGTTGGTCAGGTACAAACTCAAAAGGTATTTCTTCTTTTTCCTTGTGGGTTTCCTTCATTTTACCTTTGTGTACCTTTAAGGCGTGTTCAGATTTGAATACTTTTTGACAATGATTACACTCGTTTTCCTTATGAAATTCATTAAATTCAAAACTCTTACCAGAGACTTGGTCAGGTATAAACTCAAAAGGTATTTCTTCTTTTTCCTTGTGGGTTTCCTTCATTTTACCTTTGTGCACCTTTAAGGCGTGTTCAGATTTGAATACTTTTTGACAATGATTACACTCGTTTTCCTTACGAAATTCATTAAATTCAAAACTCTTATCAGAGACTTGGTCAGGTATAGACTCAAAAGGTATTTCTTCTTTTTCCTTGTGGGTTTCCTTCATTTTACCTTTGTGTACCTTTAAGGCGTGTTCAGATTTGAATACTTTTTGACAATGATTACACTCGTTTTCCTTATGAAATTCATTAAATTCAAAACTCTTATCAGAGACTTGGTCAGGTACAAACTCAAAAGGTATTTCTTCTTTTTCCTTGTGGGTTTCCTTCATTTTACCTTTGTGTACCTTTAAGGCGTGTTCAGATTTGAATACTTTTTGACAATGATTACACTCGTTTTCCTTATGAAATTCATTAAATTCAAAACTCTTACCAGAGACTTGGTCAGGTACAAACTCAAAAGGTATTTCTTCTTTTTCCTTGTGGGTTTCCTTCATTTTACCTTTGTGTACCTTTAAGGCGTGTTCAGATTTGAATACTTTTTGACAATGATTACACTCGTTTTCCTTATGAAATTCATTAAATTCAAAACTCTTACCAGAGACTTGGTCAGGTACAAACTCAAGAGGCGTTTCTGCTTTTTCCTCGTGGGTGTTTCTCGTTTTACATATGTGTACTTTTAATGCGTGTTCAGATGTGAATACTTTTTCACATTGATTACACTTTTTCCCCTTATGAGCATGAGCAAACACTAGATGCAGCTTTATTGCTCTCATGGATTTAAAACGTCTTCCACATTTATTACATCTATAAATTTTGCCAGAAGGCCTATTTGGCATCAACCTATAAGCTTTTTCTTCTACTCGTATTCCCTTATGAGCACGACCTTCATGTATATATAACCCATGTATGGAATCGAACACAAGTTGACATTTATCACATTCATAACATTTAACAGAAATACTATCCATTTCTTCTTTTTCCTTGTGACTTCCCTCATGTGTCATCAAACCTCTTCTGCTTTCAAAACCTTTTGTACAAGTATTACATTTATACTTTTTACCAGAAACATTTTCCTCTTCCGGTTTGCACACATGTTTCACTAAGTAGGCTTTGGATGAAAACTTTTTCCAACATTTGTTGCATCTGAAGATTTTACCACCCAGATGGAACCGCTTAAAGTGTCTCTTATACTGCAACTGTAAAAAGAAAAAAAAGTTAACTCAGCAAACAAAACAAAAAGGAAATATATTTTAAAAATGGGTTTTGAAAGAATAGTACTAAAAGGTACAAAAATAGAAACAAACTCAGTTAAAAAGAGCTATGGTAGTATAATTTCAGACACATTGGTATTTTAGTTTTGTACATAATTATGATTTCAAAATCTATTCTTAAGTGTTAACTGCATCATTTCCAGCATCATATGACAGAACTACACCGGCTAATAATCTCCAACTTGGTTCATACGGTACCTGTGAAGTGAAAATCCGGGAACATTTGGGACACTTGAACATGAGTTTGAGACGAGAAACAGTGTTCAACCTAGAGAGAGGGCCGGACTGAACAGACCGATGATTAGGCTCTGGCACTCCAGACATCTGTAACAAATATCAAGTTGTACAATAAGTAAAGTACAATAGTTAGACATGTTAGCTCAAATTTTAACATGGTACCTGTAATGATAAGGCAAAGGACAATGAGAAACCAGGATGCTGTCAAAGCTTCCAAATGTCCCTTTGCTCTGCCGCTTCAATCCTCTTTTAACCAGTTCTTGTTTTAATTTACAGTTAGTAAAGTTATGTAATTTACGGGATTGTGGAAAATCCTGAATATCCCCCATGATTTTGTAGACATCATCATCTCCAGCAGTCACAGCACATATTAATTACTGCAGTCCCGTAACGATCATCACTGTCTCCCGCGTTCATGAAAAAGTTATCGTCACCCGCGATCGCATAAAGCATGAATTTTTGATCACACAATCTTCAAAGACATGTTCTTCAACGACGAGAATATCCCATTGGTAAAAGCCTGTCTCGCCTATCTTCTGAGTATAGACAATGGGTTGTCTTGACGTACTCTGTGGCTTACAGTCATGCCACACGTAGGTAAATAGCACACAAGTAAGGGTTGGCTAACAAAGAAAAAGTCGGATAAGATCTAAGATTGGATAATGGAGACTCCACTGATCACTGTTTACAAAATAACGATTTCTAAGAAAATCATGTATGTAAAACCATCTTACATCATATTCATCATCATTGTCTGATGCAAATCCTAGGATCATTTCTCCGTCATCATCTACATCAAATCCCAGAAAAACAGCTTCGCCCTCATCATCGGAAATCAGTTCTTCCTGCAATCATTAAAATAGTTTGTGTCACAATGAAATTACAGTAAAAACTGGATCAATTGGAAATAAAGGGGGTGAGGCCATTTTGGTTAATCTTTTTTTTCAGTTCATCAACTTTTTAAATAGACAATAGACAATCTACAGGCTATTCCGTTAAAAAAAATTTCTATAGTTTGGCCGCTTAGAAAGCGACCTGCGCGCTAATGCTAAACCAATGCTAGAGGAGGTCGCTTTCTAAGCGGCCAAACTATACATGAATTATTTTAATTACTGTCATCATAAAGCCCCCATACACGGGCGAACATGTTCGCGAGCCTGTTGGCGGACACGCTCACAAACATGCTCGGCATTTCCACCATACGGTCGAGCATGCTCGGGAACTTCCTTACCGCCACCGTACAGTACTCACTTCTCTCGTTCTGTGACAGTACGACGAGCCGAGCGCCGAGCCCAACATGCTTGCCGGTACGAAGGCTCGCAGACCCCACACACGGGCGAACATGCTCGCAAACATGTTTGCCCGTGTATGGGGGGCTTAAAATATACAACAGTTTACAGAAAATATTTTTAACATAATTGACAGTTTACTGAAATTTGAATCCATGTAACGGAATAATACAAACACATTTAGACCACAAAAGTGCTGTTCACTTACTGCTAAAGGGTCAACCAATTTGTATTCCTTCCTTGGTTTGTATTGTTTATCAATCCATCCTATTCCTGCTACTGCTCCTTTCTTGATGTACTTCCTTTTTCCCTTGAGAAAAAAAAGGATGGATTATAAAAAGATATCACTAATTACATAATTATTCCAAAGAGCTGGGTAGCCAAGCAGATTTAGAGCTCACCAATCAACCTTTAATCTTTTCAAATGGTTTATGTTTGGAACCAGCTGACTTTGATCATTGGGCTTTCAATAAATGATCCTGATTAACCAGCTGATCTAAATCCCCGTGTACACGTAGCTAGTTTACTAGCAGCTAGTATTCGCTGCTAGCACTAGCTGGGCACACTAGCGCGAAAATACCAATCTACACGTGGCTAGTTATTAGCGCTTATTATTAGCGCTAGTCATGTAGAAATGAAGTGTTCATTGGTCGCAATAGCCATTTCAGTTTAGCACAAAATGTCTTCTGTTCCCTTAAATCGAAATGTTCTGAGACAAATTTTAAGAATTGGTGTACAGAGTTGTGTGAACATGAACTTAATCAAAAGAGACGATCTGTATGGGTTCGAAGGTGGATTAGGAGGCGAGAAATTCTTGGTGCGTCCAATACTCTTTTAAGAGAACTGGCATTGGAAGACCCTACAGAGTACTTTAAGTTTAAGTACTTTAAGTACTAAGTACTTTAAGTACTAAGTACTTTAAGTAACAAACACTTCTACTTGTCAGACAAACAACAACTGATGCACTATCACTGGCGTATGGCGAGTGGCAATTAGCACTAGCAGAAGAGCAAATACCCCGCTAGTACCTCGCTAATTTGCTAGCGCTAGTGGTCACGTGACCACCTCCTCCACTTATTAGCGCTAGTAATATCAAACATGTTCAAAACGACTAGCAGCGAGTAAAATGCTAGCGCGCTAGTAATTGTTTACGCTAGTAGACCGTTTACACGGAGCGAATTTACTAGCGCTAATCAACTAGCTGCTAGTACTAGCCTCGTGTACACGGGGCTTTAGTCAGTAACTATTATCATAGACTATGCTATTATCAAGACATCCCTATGTTAAATTTGTAGCCAGCTTTTTCATCAAAATCGTCATAGTTGATGTGAGCCACCTACAGATTGCGCTGACCTAAATTACTAAATTCTACCGAATACACAATCTTTTTAACCAAGTCAAACAGGGTTAATTGAATGTATCTTGGCTGCGCTGGTGTTCAATTAAGTCGATTAGTTGTAAGATACACATTTTCAAAGCCAAGATGTTTTGAAAACTAGAACACTTTGAAAATTGAATTTTTAAATTTATTATATTTTAATTACATTTAAATCTAAAGTGGTGAGGAGCTAAGGATGGCCTTAAGAAGATCAAAACACATTCTTCAAAAAGAGATTGAGAACATTTAAGTACAAATAATAAGTACAAATAATAGGCCTACAATTAATCATTCAGCATGTGCAATGTATTTTGTACCTTTTTAAAGATTAGAAATGTCAAACTTACCACTTTATAGTAAGCATCCTTCTTCAACCTCCTGGGAAAGATAATACACTGTATTAATATTTATTGGTTTAATATTTTACCCTAGATAATAGATATTAGATAAAAGATATTGCAAATTGTTTTGAAAAAGAGCATGAAAGCATTCTTAAATATCATATAAATTTCTAACGACTCAATAAATATGGTAACTTGACTTATTAAGTTATTGATACATAGAACAGTGTTTTAACCTTATATTTAAAAAATAATTAGATTATAGCGTTACAGTAGAACCCCTCATATCCGGCCTTGGTTTTACCGGTCCTCTGTTTATCCGGCCCCTTCCAGGAAGCCAATATCAAAATTTTTTTCTCACACCTTACAGACGTTTAGATACAAGCACTAGTCTTTGTGACTGCTTAAGTCATAAAATAAATTGTTCTCATTATTTATCTGTTTGTTTATACATTTATTTGCTGAGTCACTATACTCAGTTGAGCTAGTAGGCCTAACCTCTGATCAGTTGGCTGATTATTTCCAAAGTGGGTTTAGTACAGTACAGTACGAGTACATTAATTTTTGTATTTCACAAAGTGGTTAAGAATGTTGAGTAGAAATGCAAGTACCATTTAAGTCCTAATGATCTTTAAGTAGGTACAATTTATTGTAATTTTTACCTCCATTTAATATGTTTTGTTACCTGGAATCATAATATTTGTAGCCTACATTCATTACTTACAGTATTGACTTTAACCTACAAATATTTTTTTTCCTTTTTACAAACATGTTTATTTTTCTAAAAATGATCCCAGAACAGAATTAAATGATACTTTTGATTGCATATATTGATTACCTATTATTATTAGGTATGAATTGTCATTTTCATAGTAGGTTGGTTTATCCGGCCAAATCGTTATCCGGCCAGGGGCTTGGTCCCGTGGAGGCCGGATATGAGGGGTTCTACTGTATGTGCAAAATTTTTTTGGCATCCTTCTACCTAGTTTAAAGGCCATTTCATTGTAGAAATAGATAAGATCTTTCTTAATAAAGAGCTATCTTTTCAAATAATATTTCAACCATTATATTGAGGTGTCGAGAACTTTCATAACAATAACTAGCTAGTAGTGTAGCTAATTTCTTTAGCTAACTTATATAAGATAATACACTCACAGAGAAGTAAGATACAGAGGAAACATGCTAATGGAACAACAATGGAGCTTTTAGCTCTAGAACGGTGGGGTGGAAATATACTAGTACCGAGCAAGGAAGAGCCCGAACAGCTATGGTTTACAACAGCAGTTGTAGCACACAGGCTCTTCTTACAGCGTAAGCACTGTAGTAAGTGCTGGTGAGGGGGGAGAGGAGAGCGGAAGGGAATGACCAATAGAATTTGCACTAGACACAAGCGACTGATGCTAGACACAGCTTAAGTCTATCATTGAATGTTTCCTCTGTATTTTACTTCTCTGTGGTACACTGTACTTCCAAGATTATTTGAGAATTAAAATTTTGACTCCGTATATGCCAACTGAAAATACCGGCCTGTTTCTTAAAACAATATATTACATGTAAACAAAATATTTCAATCAATAGCATACTTACTTTATACTTGAAACGTTCTTATTCTGTGGAACAAATTTGTCGAACTGAGCTGTATGCTTTGAATTGTTTTTTGATGAATCTTCATCAGAATAGTTTTTTGAATCATTCAAAGATTCATTTGATCCTTCGATCAAATCAAGATTTTTAACTTTTCTTTTTTTGTACCTCCTTTTCTCAAGCCTGATTAACTCTTTTAATCCCCAAGATGCTTTCCTTCCAATAAGCTTTCTTCTCCCGCTCTCTGGGTAAATTCGCCTTGCATATTTTTTTCTTGGTTTCTCTTCTGGGTTGTCATTAGCTCTTTCCTTTATTTCTAGAGACGTTGGCTCCTCAATCCGGTAGGATATATTGCTTGCATCTAATGATTGATCTAGATTTTTTTCTGATATGACATCATTGGATGAATTCTTTGATGCTTTCCCTTCTAACGATTTAACAACACTCCCATCCACTAAACGACTGATTTTCTTACCATGGAGAACATCCTCCATAACAACACTACAACTTCTACCTATTAAGACTGGAGTTGCTTGTGTGCTGACATTTGTGTTCATTGGTACTTTTAAATCAGCCAAAATACTTAAGCTCCTACCCTTCTCATTGGTAGTGTTAAGTTTTACATTATTGGGTTCAGAGCTTACACTGCAGATTCGTTCAACTTGAGCTGTTGGTGCGGAGCTAACCTTTCTTGCAGACATATTTTCAACTGATTGCCTTGATATGATGCTTAAGTTTCCAGACAATCGACTACCCAAGCCTTCCATATTGATTTTATCTGATGGAATAACTTGATCAGACTGATTTGATAAGGTTGCTTGAGTTATATTAGAAGTGCCTAAACTTTGTGGTTTTTTATTTACTTCAGTTAAACTTTGGGAGTTTGAAGAAACACTTATGGTAACATGTTTGGACAACTTTTGTTTGACGATATCCAAATCATTGGTGTTATCTACATTTACTTGTGGCTTACACGTTAACTGATTGGTGCATACTGACATAGAATCTTTATAAGATGTTGTAACACTGGCTACTTCTGATGATTCAAGAGATTGACTTTGGTTACATCGGTTAGACATTTTATCAGTATTAATAGTTTCTACAGACTTTGATGATTCAAAATATTGACTTTGGTTATTTTGGTCAGACATTTTAGCAGTATTAAAAGTTTCTGCGGATAAGTTTATGAAAACCGTTGGTTTAGATGTACAATTCGTTTCCAAAGAAGCTTGATTCTCTGTTTGTTTTATTTCCGTTCCTGGTAGCTTTGAAGAATCATTTGTTCCTAAATCAGCGTTTTCTAACCTATCTAAAGCTTCATGGGCATGGACTGTTGTAGCTTTTGAAAGTGTAACTTTAAAGTCTTTACTCTGGTTAGGCCTTCCAACAAAGACACTGCATGTTTTAGTATCAGTTGGACTTAATTTTGACTGATCATTCTGGTTAAAAGGTTTCTGGGGATTGGCCTTTGAAGGAGAACTAAAATCACTACGATGTTTGACATTTTGTGCAACTTTGGAAGTATCCTGAATCATTTTACCATCTTGACTTTGAGTACTACCTATTTGTGAATCTCTATTGTCTAAAGATGAATTTGGGTTTTGACATTCTTGGTGACTGTCACTTGACTTGTTAACACTCAACTTAGGTTTTAGCAACTCTTCTAGCAATTTTGAGTGACTACTCATTGGCGGGGTCTTATCATTAGAAGTCAAACTTTTTTGGTCTAAGGATGATGTTGGCTGGACGACTGTTTGCTCTGACTTGCTATTGACAAAAGCAGTACTACCCGAGTACTGACTTACTTTACTGTTAACTCCTGGATCACCATAACAGAGAGGAGTTTTTGGAAGGGACAGCGCAACTTTGTTCCTTGGCCCGTTGAAGGAAGTGTTTTTATTGATAGGTGTAGAGGGGGGAGTCAACAGAGAGGTTGATGTCATCTTGTTTCCAAAATATGGATCTCGATTACTTTCATAACTTGTGTACTCGTTATGACCTAAAATTTTGGGCAATTTGATCTTATTAGGGGATATTTGTTGTGGCAGCTTAAATTCATAAGGCCCTGGTAATTTGAATTCAGGAAGTTTTTGCGATTTAGGTGAAACTTGAAAACTAGTTGGAAGTGTTGAAGGAAGATTCTTATTTTTATTTTTGGGAGGAGTGATGGGTTGGTGAGCATGTTGTGCTGAAGACTTTAATATCTCAGATCTGATTGTTGGATTTCTCAATTCCAGATATATTTTACCTTCTTTAAAACCAGTTTGGGATCTGCTGCTGGACCCGATCTGGAAGTAGGGAGTGTGTGGGGTGATTTTGGCTTGACTTGATAGCACACTAAGTTTTGAATCAGCTTTGCTGATTACTGTTTCTCTCGTAGGACTTTGAAATTTGTTGTATTCAGTTCTAATTGGCGATGAAGAATAAGTTTGCTCAGTTCTAATTGGCGATGAAGCATAAGTTTGCTCAGTTCTAATTGGCGATGAAGAATAAGTTTGCTCACTTCTAATTGGCGATGAAGAATAAGTTTGCTCAGTTCTAATTGGCGATGAAGCATAAGTTTGCTCAGTTCTAATTGGCGATGAAGAATAAGTTTGCTCACTTCTAATTGGCGATGAAGAATAAGTTTGCTCACTTCTAATTGGTGATGAAGAATAAGTTTGCTCAGTTCTAATTGACGATGAAGAATAAGTTTGCTCAGTTCTAATTGGCGATGAAGAATAAGTTTGCTCAGTTCTAATTGGCGATGAAGAATAAGTTTGCTCACTTCTAATTGGCGATGAAGAATAAGTTTGCTCACTTCTAATTGGTGATGAAGAATAAGTTTGCTCAGTTCTAATTGACGATGAAGAATAAGTTTGCTCAGTTCTAATTGGCGATGAAGGGTAAGTTTGCTCAGTTCTAATTGGCGATGAAGAATAAGTTTGCTCTGTTCTAATTGGCGATGAAGGATAAGTTGGTTTTGACTGATTTACACCTAGAATATTTGAATATTGTTGCTGGGTATTTTGAATAGTCTTGTTTCTATTGGATTGCTCAAGTTCAATCACAGTTAATGGCCTTAGTTCAGCTTTTTCCGTCTCTTGATTCCTATTCTCTTCCTTGTTCAAAGGCTGACAAAGTTGCTGATACAATTTTGAAGTGGCAAATTTAGGATTTTCATTACGGTGCTGTTTGAGTGGTTTTAACTCTTGGAAAGTTTTACAAAAGTTTGAAGGATTTTCAACAACAGTTGTAGGAATCAAATACTCGTACTCTTTTGAATCATAACCCTCTTTTGGTAAACTGGAAGTTACAGAAACAGGTGACATCTCGTGATAAAATTTAGGTTCTTCTAGAAGATTATAATGGTTTGGGGATATAGAATTGAGTTGATGATACACTTTGTTTTCAGATTGAATATGAGAATCTTCAAACGAACTGACAGTAACCGGTTGGAGTGACTGAATATGACACATTCCACTGCTTGTTGAAATCGCACCAATTTCTAAAGACTGAACACTAGTAGGTGTACATGGATAAAAGCTTGAAGTTGAATTGACGTCACCTTGGACATTTCCACCTTGGATCATGTCGTATGAATCACTGTTCACATTGCAAGTCAGGTCTACGTGATGTGAAGACTGTTGCAACTGTTTAGGTCTATCAAATACAAACACACCGGGTAGCGGAGGCGGAGGTGGATTCATAGTTAAGATTGTATTCACTCCCTGTGTTGGGTTATCAATAAAAGCACTGTTTTCCAGTCTTTGCTTCTCTTTATTGCCATCCTTCTGGCCTGAGTCTGGGTTGTATTCACTGACATCACCAATTGTTACGTTCATTGCTCGGGAAACACCTAAAATAAAAGAAAATTTGGTAAAATAAATGTTAGATGAACGGCGATAAAATTTTGTTTGCTTGAATCTGTAAGTCATTCATGCATTCAGTCATAGGCCTAGTCATTAGGCTATTCAGTTAAATTATGTTATGCAAAAATTGATTTTAAATCTGCTGCCTTCATAAAGGGACAATAACTCCCCCTCTTCCCCATAATTACGTGTCCCTACCTCATTTCCTCCCCAAAAAAACCTTTACTTTTCAAGCACACAACATTTTGTATTAATGGAAGCCAAATTAAAATGGTAAACCTTAAATTTTGGCCGATAAATTATGAATTTGAATAATTAAAGCCTACTTCTGTTATGACAAAGTATAAATATGACAAACACAGTTTTTATACACATACAGTAGACTCTTGATAATTCGAAATTGGTGGGCCAAGCATATCAATTTGAATTATCAAGAGTTTTAAATCATCAAGAGTTCGATTTATCGGGAGAAAAATAAACCATTCGAATTACAGAGAGTTTGTTTGTTTAATACATACAAAGGTACAGCACGTTACAATAAAACATCATACCGTATTTTAGTACACTTTTAAACAATCAACGGCTTATTTTTCAGTTACTGTAGTTGCAAAGAAATCTGTTATTTAGCGCTATATATTTCGCCAATAGCTGAACTATCAGCTGTCGACAACTACGTTTGTGCTCAAGGAGATGTCGCGCAATCTAGAGATCGGATTGCCAACTTAGAAAAACAAGTCAGCGAACTAACTCAGAGTACTGCTCTAACTAAAAAAACATCAAAACGTCCAACACTAGCCTACCATGGGAACAGGATGTACTGTACTGTATAGTTTCCTGTTATAACAGGAAGAGATCACTTCGAATTATAGAGTGTTTTGCCGACTAAACTTCGAATTACTGCGTGACTTTGATTTATAGAGTGTTTTTCGACGAAACTTCGAATTACAGCATGACTTCGAATTAAAGAGTGTTAACCGACGAAACTTCGAATTACTGAGTTACTTCGAATTATAGAGTGTTTTTTCGACGAAACTTCGAATTACTGCGTGTTAAAAATTGACCTGCCCTCCATTTGGACTTTGAAATACCGAGTGTATCAAAATGCATGGTAAAAATTTGAAATATTGAGAGATTCTCTAGGGACTGAGCCTTCATTTTGAATTATCGAAAGTTTTGAATTATCAAGTGTTTGAATTACCAAGAGTGGACTGTAAATAGTTATCTTAGCTAGGTCAATTATTTTGTTAGGTAACAGTATCATTCACAAAAAAAAAATAAAGAACTTTAACTTAGTTAGTCTAAAAAACAAAATATAGCAAAAATAAAATCAGCAAGAAATGTTCAAACTTCATCTCTGAGCTCTTAATTAGAAAACTACCTCTCTGTGGGTTATTTGGAGGGCTACCTTTCCCCTGAAATTGTCAGTGTGGCCCTTAAATAAAAAAGGTTGGAGACCCCTGGTTTGGACAGTTGTAAAACAAGTTACCGTAACTCATCGAGGTTAGACTAGTTAAAAATTATTCAGTTAAAACTTGGCTGAAAATTTAACTAGGGGAAGCCGGGGTTCAAGGGATATACGTAAATAGGTAGGGATATACGGGGTTCAAGGGGTAGTAAGAGAAAAAATATATAAACAAACCTAAATGGTCTAACTAAACTAGGTCCATGAACACATTTCATAACTATGTTTTTTTTACCCTTCGGTAGAGGTATTGTAAAATAATGAATCTTGAATCTATTTACCAGAATAAAAATCTGTAAGTTAAACATATCGATATTTAGGTACCGGTAGCGATAATATATCGCAAGTTTTCTGCGGAATTGTGCTCTAGAACTTACATCAGACCTCAATGGAAAAGATCAAAGATAAGAAAACTTTCAACTTGGAATATTATTAGAAAAAATATCTCAACAAATGAGCGCCCAGTTGTTATATTACCAGATGTTGATTCACCTTTAAACTCAGAAAATTTTAACTCTTTTTTTGTAAGTAGTATTAATGATATTGTTGATAACATTCCTGTTAGTTTAACCAGTGCCGATGAGTATATGTCTAGTGTTCCTTTGTGTAATGTTAAATTTGAATTTTGTGAGGTATCAGTAGAATGTGTACATAAAGCTATTTTGTCTTTAAGCAGCAGCAGCAGTCTTGATATTTTTGGTTTAAGTTCTCAGATTCTAAAGTTTGGTAGTGATTATTTATGTGAAGTCATTGCACACATCATTAACTCCTGTATTACGGGAAAAACTTTCCCAGACAAACTTAAAATTTCTAAGATAGTTCCAATATTTAAAAAAGGTAATAGATTGGATGTTAGCAATTATAGGCCTGTGGCCTTGGTGCCCACTCTGTCGAAGGTCATTGAGAGGGTGCTTTCATGGCAAATAGTTAACTTTCTGGATTCAAACGGTTTGCTTTCGTGTGCGCAATTTGGTTTCCGCAAGCACTGATCCACTACGGAGGCGGTCTTAAATTACATTCAGGACACTCTAGAGGCCATGGAAAGAAAACAAGGTGTTTGCTCAAAATTTTTTGATCTCTCAAGGGCCTTCGACACTGTGTCTCACAGTGTTTTACTAGGCAAACTAAAGTCATTTGGTTTTTGTGATAATGCCGTGTCTTTGATTGAGTCATATCTGAGCAACAGATTCCAGGCTGTTTATTTCCAGGATTCACTGTCAGAGCTTAAACACACTCCCCACGGAGTGCCACAAGGGTCCATTTTAGGCCCCCTACTCTTCATTATTTATGTTAATGACTTACCTTTTAATGTCCAAAGTAATGATGTTTCATGTTTTATGTATGCAGACGACGTGTGTTTGAATATCAAGTCTACTAAGTGTATGCAGGACAGTGTAATTTCTGAGTCTGTTAAAACAATGTCCGACTGGTGTAAGGCCAATAAGCTGTCTCTTAACGTAAACAAAACTCAAAATCTGGAAATGACCTATGGTAACTCTAAGAATTCTCAAACTCCAGTCAAATTCTTAGGTGTGATGATACAGAGCAACCTAAAATGGTTTTCCCATATTGATTTTATCGCTCCAAAACTCTCCAAAGGAATTTTTATTTTAAGAAATTTAAAATCAATTGTTTCTCCAGATGTATTTTTAACTGTGTATTTTAGTTATGTTCATTGTCATTTAGTATATAGTGCCATTCTCTGGGCTAATTGTAGCCATGCCAACATCTTGTTTGTTTTACAAAAAAGAGCCATTAGACTGTTAAGTAATGCTCCCCCACGTAGTCATTGTAAGCCTATATTTAAGAAATTGTCTGTGATGCCCTTAACCTGTATTTATATTTTTCAATGTCTGTTATATGTTAAAAACAACTGTGATATTTTACTTTGTAATAAGGATGAGCACAAGTATGCCACAAGGAATTGTAATAATTTAAGAATAGATCAGTGCCTTTATGCCACCACTCAAGCTAGCTTCAAATATACCGCTACCAAATTGTACAACAAGTTACCAGTTAAAGTTAAAAAGTTACCATTAAATGTTTTAAAGTAGCCATCAAGAGAATTCTTCTAAAAACTGTTTTTATAAAATAGAAGATTATTTTGCCTCAACCTTAGATTAGTTTTAAGTTGTATTATATTGTTGACACAGCCTATACACTATTGTACTTTTCACAATTTGTGTCTATGGAATAAAGATGATTTGATTTGATTAATACAGTATACTTTAGTTTGGATGATAATTTAATTGTAAACTTAGCCGGTAATTATATTGATCATGGACGTTTCGCTAAGATTATATCTTTTTCGCTATTCTTATGCTAAATAAGGTCCTGAATTAAAAAATTATTGTCATTTTCCCCGGTAAAGCACCATTTCCCCGGAAAAGCAGAAAAACATTTTTGCGGAAATGGGTAATGAGGGTACCAGTACTAAAATGAACCGGTAGAATGATTTCTGATGGATATTAATGGAGATACGGCCGGAAAAGTGCCGTTTTCACGGAAAAACAATGAAAAATTATTTTATTTCATATAATATAACCTAACCTTACCTAATTTTGGTCATTACATGGCCAATTTCCTGACGCTTTCCGGCCGTATCTCAGCTCACTCTACCAGTTAATTTTAGTACCCTCATGACCCATTACCCGTAAAAATGTTGTTTTTCCGGGAAAACAGCGCTTTTCCGGGGAAAATGACGATCATTTTTTAATTCAGGACGTTATTTAGCATAAGAATAGTGAAAAAATGTAATTTTAGCGAGACGTCCGTGATCGATATAATTACTACTTAGACACTTTACTAAACAGGATTTAGAATATTTGTTTCAATGGAACTTAGGCTAGTTCTCAGCTAAGTTAACATGAGATGGTTTTTATTTCAAAACATAATTTGGAAGCCTTATGCCATTTAACCCTAGGAGTCGCGAATCGCCAAAAAATGTTGATTTCAAAATTTGTTGCTGGAATGGCGGGCGACAAAATTTGTCGATTAGGTCTAGCGTAACATTTTTTTCCGTTGCATGTTACGCACAGTTATAGTCGTTAAAATGACATAAAACTCTTACCAATGGAAAGATGAGATTCTGAAGTTTCATTTTATTATAAGAATGAACCTTATAACACAAGTAGG